ATATATATATATATATATATATATATATATATATATATATATATTGGATTTCACCCTTATTAAAACATATGTATACGCTACCACTATGACCCTCTTTCACTGACCCAGTGTATTTTTACTGTACTGGGAAGAGTTGCTAAATGTCATGTTGCTTGGTTGCCAATCATTTCCCCTACCTTTACGATGCCACAGATGAATCCTATTACATTACCTTGTACATCTTGGGCATATCAGAGCTTCGACCAATACTTCCGAGGCTGAAGTAAATGATACCAGCATCTCCTGATTCTTCCACGAATTTCGCAAGGTCCTTGAGAAAATAAAAACAAAAGTCAGAGTTGTCAGTTTTATCGTTAATATCATTGTCATTGTTATACTCGTCGCCATTCATATTATTGATTTGATTTTTATATGTATTGTTATCGTAAATGTCCTTGTAAGTGAATTATGGTAAATATTATTCATCATCACCCTCATCATTATTAACATTTTGTTCATTATCACCATTGTTATTTTTTTTATCATTAGTTGTATTAAATTTTAGCGAGTGGGAAGGCAAGCCAAGTCCAGACAAAGGAGCGAGGTCGTTGCAGGAGGAACAACCTCACAGCTGAGATTCCTGTTTGTAATGTTTGTTGATTGGTAGAAATCAGCAGAGGCATACCAAGCCCCGTGTCAAGATGAGGGCCGTTGCATCAAGCGCAGGTGTTGTTGAAGAGACTCAGATTAGTTTGAGAATTGGAACCTTGGCAAAAGAGGAGTGATGTTGCAGAAAGAGATAAGTGGGAAATGTGCAATGAAGTTGTTGCATTGTGTAACTGCACAACAGTGCATAGATGGAATAGTCCCGAAGTGATACTGACAGAAAGAGATGACGTGTTTTAACTGAAGTATATGAGATACAGTCACTGATATACAATTTGATGAATACAAAATTTGATAAAGCTTAAGTCAAACCTCCTGGCGGTGGTGGGTCCTGCCCAATCAAGCCCAATTCTTTCTTCATGTTATATAAACAAATAACCAGTTCTAACTACTGAAATGGAGTTCACTATATAAGTTATATGAAACACTTCATCGGGATCGCAGATGATGCCACAATTGAGCATCAGGCCAGGACTGGTGGCAATATGGTGCTTGCAATATCTGAAACCATTTTGGGAGAAAGACTGAGAGATGATGATGATAGCAAGGCGATACATATAGGGAGGAGAGAGGCAAAGAGGCGATGGAAAACGAAATGGAAGATTGAACATTAGAAAGACAATGGCACAAACAAAGGCTGCAGTGTCTATGAATTCATAACATAAATTCCATATACAAAAGAGGGGTGAAATATAGACATAAAATAACAAAAGATATATGTAACCATGTAAAATAATAAATGAAAGTTATATGAAACGTATAAGAATAAACAAGGGATGAAATATGTTACAAAGCTGATAAAGCAGAAAAAAAGTAAAATTTGAATGGACACACAATCAAATAAAGAGATAAGATGCTGAGATAATGGCATCGGTGGTGCAAGACGGGACACTCCTGAAGCTTGGACTGAGTGCAGACATTATTCGGAAAGAAAATGGCAATGTCGTCCATGAGTTGTTTACCTGTTAGCAACACAGTGTTCCCAGTATGTTACTACTCAGTAGGTGATTTGGTGGCAGCACTGTTGTGGACGAGATGACTGCTTGGTAGGTCTCTGGGTAAGCAGAAACATACAGCAGTTATATACGTTTTGAGACTGGAGCGGCATGAAGAGAAATGTACTGAATGTTGGTGAATTATTCATTGTTCAAGTGCCTGTCCAGGTACCATATCACATACACAAGGTAAACTTTCTCAGGAAGAGGTTTTATGCAATCTTTCACATTCATAATTAGACTCAAACTCATGAATGGGAAACAATCCTGCCTATGCCAAGGTCTATATAAATATATAGACTCCCAGCCTTCACGCCCTGAAGTAACAAGTTTTCCAAACAAGCTGGTAGTTGGTCGAAATTCATTTGCTTTAACTAGTTACTCAAATTTTATTTTGTCTGTCTTTATAGTATTCGCTTTCAGGGGGAATAATGTTTATTCCACACTGATGTAGATATGGACAGTTTCCACGCTTAGTTACCATATGCTTCTATTGTTACTATCTGCCTTCTTTAGGAAACGAAAATATACAAAACGGCAACACTGGCCTTCATTTATAAGTGCATACATACATACAGAGCGAAGCACACACAAAAAGGTATAATCTATATACAGTAAAATCAACAAAACTCTATACAGTGTCCCTTCAACAAGATACTTATGCTTGCTATTTTTTTTATTCATTCGTTAAATTTCCTTATTTTCAATTTAACTTTTTTCATGACCTTTATAGAAGCCTAATGATGCTCTACGGAACTCTGGTAAGAAATCACTGCTCCAAATATTGCATAACAATGCAGCCTTCTTGACGGATATCATTGTGATATTTTGAATCCGAAAATTGTTAAATCTAAGACTAA